CAAGTTTTGTGCTTTTAGACCAAGCATAACACTACTTTTTTAAAAGAAAACTGCTTTTTTAAAAAAAAAAGAAAAAATGACTTGGAGATACTGGATTCTGACACATCCATTAACTGATCCAATGCCACCAGATGTTAGGCCAGCTAACTACTCACCTTGCTTTCTCTAATACACAACAGCATAAGAAAACAGTATTGACTTAACATTGGTATGCATTTTTCTTATGACAGTTCAAAAAAATCAGCTGACAAAGGGCAAGATAGAAAAGTGTTAGCAGAATTGGAATGGAAACTTTTTAGTTCACCACCACTGCTTTATTCATGCAACATTATCTTCCCATCATACGCCCTTTCCTTGCTAATAGGAATGAAGGTTAGTATAGAATAGGAGGTTAGTAGCCCAGCAGTTTCAAGACACATCTTGGATAGGCGATTTTAACTCAGAGATTATGCAAATCACCTTGGCTAGCAATCGATATATCATTTCTTTTTTGGGTTCATTAGATCCTGAGTCAGTACAAAATTAGCTTATTGCATTATTATGTTTGTTCCCATACCTTTTCTTGGCCAAAACCTGGAAAAGCAGAAGCATGATCAAATTAGAAGAGAAAATATTTCTTGAGGTTTTCTTTAGTTTACAACTCCATTTAAACATCTAATGACAATATGTTAAATGTCTAATTCCGGGGGAAAAAAAGTCTAAGTTATTCTAAGGAGGGATTTTAAAATGCTAGAACTCAGAAAGCTCAAGGTCGGGTGGAATTATCCATTTCATTCTTTGCTTTTGGAGGCTGTTGACCAAAGAAAATTTTTTTAAGTAGCATGGTCAACTAATTGCTTTGCTTGGCTATGTTCTACAGTTCTAAGGAATATGCATCTTCAGTTTCAAGGATAATTCTAACTAATTCACCATAATTCAAAATCACCAAGACTTTCAGCATTCTTAATATGTTTTTGATAGCTTGGAAAGTGGAATCAGGGTCATCAGCCCATTGGGGAATTTCATGAGCTCTGGGGGTCTTTTAGGCTAATTTGGGGATTTGCTGCAGAATAGGACAGGGACAGCTGCAAGCGAAGGATTACATTTTTATGAGCTGCTTTCTCTCTGAGATGTATTTAGACATTTTTTTGCACCTTGAAAATGTTCTTCCAGTTTGGAACAGTTCTGACCGGCTTCTAAAAGTAAGTGCTGGAGCTTATTTTAGATGGGGTCTACAAGATTTTCACCACCATCATGCTCAACTGTACTCCTGAAAGGTAATATTAGTGTCTGAACATGAGAACTGTATAGTTGCCAACAGTGGAGGGCCTAAATTATTTCTTCCCTTGTTGCCGTTCTTGATAGAGCTCCATTAATAAAGCAAATACATGGAAATAAGCAGCCTGGATGCTGGTGCAGCCAGTGTTATGTTCCCTGAGGATTCATTGGCATCAAGTCAAATAAATCCACCAGTAGGGAAGGCAAAATAGGGCTTCAGGTGTTCACAGGACTCACAGGGTGCAGTGACATCCAATGTTGTGTGGATAACCCTCGGATACATCCTGAGGTTTCCTCTGGATGCCCCAAAAAATTCCAGTGACTTTCAGAGGTATTTGGCTTCTAATTTTTCTAGACACATATGAAATTATCACCTGTTGCGTGGTGATTCCCAACTCTGTTCTTGCTGTCATTTCAAATAAATGAAAGCTTTTGATGTTGGAATTTACACTGAATACAAATGTCTCAATTCAGTTTCAAAGCAGTCCAAATACAGTCTTTAATTTCATGGTGCACAACTCAGCTGTGTTAGAAATCCATATACAGCAGCATTCCTGTAGGAAAGCTAAAAAGTGGAACATGAAATGCATCTCCATGTCCATAGAAAAATGTTATACTCAGATTAAACACCTCACCAGCCATTCAACCATGTGATTGCTTGTTAGATATGCCATTTTATGTAAGTCCTGATACTGAAGAAAAATGTCTCTTTAGTCCATGACCATCATTGTGTGTAATTGTTATCTTTTAAGAATCTAACTATGTGATTGGCAGTCCCATTTGAGTTGTTAGATGTCTAAATACCGTCATTGTTCCTACAGAAACTTAGAGTGTCAAAAATGAATGCCAGTTATAAAAATTTCTTGTCCAGGTGTTTCTATAGAGGGCTTATAATTTATGCCTTTTACTAATAATTCCAGTATGATTTTGCATGGTATTCCATTAAAATACAAAATAGAGAAGGATCCAAAATGCCTATATCTAGAATATTACTTCTGAAACTATTCACTTCTAAATAAAGGTAGCAAAATGGTCATTCATAGTGATAGCACAAGAATCCAATTTAACATCTACATCTTCTGGTAACAGTCCCTGGCATTAAAGCTTCTAGTTCCCAGACAATAGACACCATCATATTCTATGACAGTCTCTAACTCATGAAAGAAAACTACTTTTGTTAGACTATTTTTGACTGTTGCATCTTACAAAAGCAGGAGCTATTGCCTAACTGAAGACTGCTATCAGAAGCGTTGTATGCAATCTAATGCTAGGACATGACATTTTGAGTTCGGATGCAATTCAAATAAGGTTATCTACATTTCCTGCTGCAGCAGGATCTAAGATGCATCTGCGCTTCTTTAGTGCTGCTGATCAAAGTTCCAGTTCCGCAAACCTGATGTGCTTTGAGTTCTTGTTGAATGCTATTCATGAAGCTTCTGAGTTTTTTCCGAGATTATTAAAGTCAGGATTTGACCTAGCTCTCATTTTTATTAAATACAAAATTAGCTGGGAAATAGACCCTCAGTCCCTATTTTAGTAGCGTTTACACATGCGGGTAATACCATTTCATTCCTATTCCACTCGTATCCCATTCCCAGCTATGCAAACAGTGGGAGTCGCAGCAAGAGCTGGAAAGTCTCTCTGTGCTGAGTGGCTCTTACCCAGGCACCTGAAGGTTCAAAGTCTTCAGCCTCAGTGGGAGCAGCGAGTTCATTTGGGCTCCTTTGAAAATCTGCTCCCAAGGGTGGGTGGACTGAGCCCTCCAGGGCTTGGTTTGGGCATTAATCCCTGCTCTTAGCTGCAAAGTTTTACAATAAAAAGTGAGTGAAGTTTTATTACAGAATTAAATATGCTAGGGAAAGGCTTTCATTTCCAAACCAGAGCTGACTAGAGATCATGGGATTTTTGAATGGTTCTTATTGCAAAGGCTTAAATGGTGTCACATTTATAAAAGTCATATATTCCCAATGGATATGTTGTGACCATTTTTCCTTGACTCATTTTTTTGTTCCTTTTTCTTATGACGTGCGTGTTAACAAGTTTCAGTTTATGACCTTGACATTTGCTTATTTTTCTTTTGTAAGTCTTCATAAATCAGCTTTTTTTTTAACTGTTATGAATAAAACAACCAAAGAATAAGTCATTGAAATGGACAGAAGCAATTTCCTTTCTCCCTGTTGGTGCGTAATAGTTGACTGGCCCATGAGCCATATAAAGATAGTGAAACATTAGCATGGTGGAGAAAATGCAGCCATATCTACATTTGACAAAATAACAGTATATTCATAATGCTGTTGCCTCCTTAATTTCAAAAGGCAGATTTTAATATTACTGACTTCAGAGAACGATAAGAAGGGCAGTGCATGAGACATTATCAGTCCAGTGTGGAAATAATGCATTCAAAATTAAAGACAGCAGTTTAATTAAGTGCATGAAAGGCTGGCTTTTATGATCATATTTCAAAAACTCAAATGTCTTTTCATCCATTCTGCTGTATGACTTTACTTAATAATATATCAAGAACAAAAAATGTATTGGAGTCTTTCTGCAAATTCAATTAGTGCAATAAAAAGTGAAAAATAATTTCTTTTTCATTAAAAATAACTCAACCCTAACCCTTGTGATGACAAAGCGAGAGAGGAAGGGGGTGGGAGAAGAAAAGCTGAAGAACTGTGGAAATTGTGCCTTTGTTATGCATTTATGTGCGCGCAGAATAGATGAAGTGTCACCATTAGTAGCATTTGTCATTAAGAGGACTAATTGCATGCTGCTGCAGTTAGTAGTTTATCAGACCCGGACCACGGGGTATTTACTTCTCTCCCCGGCTGCGCCTGCAGTGCGGCAGTAACTCCCTCGTTTATGGCTTGCGGCACGCGGGGTAATTAAGCTAACGAGAGCCTCTTCCAGGCCCGAGCTCTGCACGGCCACGACGCCTCGCGCGGGGGTTTTGCAGGATGGGGACAACCTCCTGAAGCCTTTCTAGCTGCTCCGGGGGGTATGGCTAGCAGAAGTGCAGCGATATTCTGTGCATTAAAACAGAAAAACGAGCAAAATGAACCACCCTTGCAGAAGTGCAGCATTTCGAGGGGGAGCATTAGGGGCGAGAGGCAGAGGAGGAAGAAACATGCACTTGGAAAGCTTTGGAGACCAGCAAAGGGATCAGTCCTAAGACATTTGAGCAAGCACGAGATGCCACCGCTGACCCCCTTTGGCTCTCGGTAAATAAAAGATCTCATTTCCAGGAGCTCTGTGTTCCCAGGTTTCTCTTCTAACATGACTAAGTGTGATCCTCAGGGTTGCTGGGGACTGATTGGGTCTGGCACTGTTTATGGGCCCCTGCTGTACAAATTGCTTCCCCTTTGCTGTCATTTTTCTGCTATTTGTCTTGTACTTGGTTCTTTTCATACCTGTCTATCACTCTAGGGGCTGTTTCCCATTACGATTCTCTCAGTAGGTGCTTATGAACAGGCTATTTTCCTGGTATCTCTTCATGTCCTAACCTCATTTTGACTCCATAATACTCTTCTCCAAGAGGCTTCCTTGGAGTAATTGTCCATGCTGTTTAAAAAAAAACAAACAGGCTGGATTTTGAAAATATGATTTACAGTAGCAACTCTTGCATGAGACAGAGGCAAGAACAATAAAAAAAAAGATCTTCATTTGTGACTAGGCTATTACAAAGGAGAGCAGGTAAGTGTTTATGAAAGCACAATTTAATCCATATCTGTTTGTTTCTCATATAGGTAACCCTCCTGCAACAGGGACAGGAACTTTACACATCACCTTGGAGGATGTCAATGACAACATCCCTTCCCTTTATCCAACACTGGCAAAAGTCTGCGATGATGCAAAAGATCTCCGGGTGGTGGTATTAGGAGCATCAGATAAGGATCTTCATCCCAACACAGACCCATTCAAGTTTGAACTGAGTAAGCAGTCTGGCCCAGATAAATTGTGGAGAATCAACAAGATTAACAGTAAGTCTGTTGTTTTTTTCTTTTTTTTTTTTGCTTATGCATTTGGTCCATTGCATGAATTCAAGAGCAGTTCTGTGCATGGAGGTTGAGCAGGACAGACCCTTTCCCACTGCTTCACGCTGCCCAGGGCAGTTCGTTCTAGGACCAGCTGCTGAGAGAAGCATTAGCAGCCTCTCTGCATGGCCCTGGAATCAGAACGTTTTCCTCTTCGTAACACATTGTTTGCACTTGTCTTTTTTAGCTTTGCATTAAATAAAGGCTCACAATGATATACAGTTTTGCAAAGATTACCAAATTGTGGTGTATGGGATTTATTTTTTATGTGTGAGACACATGAGACTTTGCTGCAGGACAGCATGAGACTTTGCATGGATTTTAGCAAAGCTTCCTGATTTCATGTACTTGGAATAATCACAAAGAAAACACCTAAATGCATAGGGACTATACACTAGCAATTAAAAGAAGAGCGTGCTATACAATTGCAGAATATTTGTATGGCAAATTGTGGGCACACACACCCCCCAAAAATATTTCTAACGTCATAGATTATTTCCACTTGTTTTCTACTCTGCACCATTTATCTCTGTTACTATGGGATCTTTTAGCAGTTCACTTCACAGTCTGCTTAGAAAGAACTAAAGATGGATGTGGTGTCTGCTGTGCCTGCAGGAACCACTGTCACGGACAGTGGGGAGGAATCATTTTCTTTAGCACTTTGCTGTTCTCCAGGCTCTGAACCACCACTGTTTAACCCTAAAAGAGTTATCACACCCTCCTGGAGACCTAAGCCTCTTATTCCTCATGGTTGCTCAGGTGGAGCAGATCCGTGGATCTGAAGGGAAAATGGGAAGCACCTTCATCTGTGCTGCCCTGCAGGAAAGGGGTTTTGAGGGCAGTAGAGGTAAATTTCTCTTTACTTGGGTATTGCTTTGGGGATAGAATGCTTCAGTATTTCATTAGTATATTCATTTCCACAGGCAAGTTCTAATAATTTACAGAGCAGGCACATTTAAATAAAAGGGACTCTTGAAAAAAATCTTCCTTTTGATGTAGTTTGGAGAATGTGTGCAATTAGCTCTAGCTTCCTGAAAAGAATTTCTGTACCTGCCTCTTCTTACTCGAATTCTGTCGTCTAATCCTTTACTTCAAGTGCTCTCATTTTCCTCTTAATTTCCCTGGATAGCTGTGGCATGCCTGGGATTGCTTACAGGATCTCCCCCCCTCCCAAGCAACCATGATTTGGCTGCATAATTGTCACCTCCTCCTCCTTTGCAGACACTCACGCCCAGGTCATCTTGCTGCAAAACCTGCAAAAGGCCAATTACAACATCCCCATCTCAGTGACAGATTCTGGAAAGCCACCTCTGACTAACAATACAGAACTGAAATTGCAAGTGTGCTCCTGCAAGAAATCCAAAATGGACTGCAGTGCGACCGATGCCCTTCACATCAGCGTGATCCTCATCCTTCTTTCACTCGGCAGTTTATTTTGTAAGTCTTTTCCTGAACTGTAAGTAATGAAGCATTATTTAGCAGCTCATTTGTGTGCTTCATAACAAAACCTACCAAGGGAGAAGGTAAATTCCTACATTGATCCCATAGTGCAAAAATTAATTTTCTCTTTCTTTCTTTTCCCTTAGGAAGTAGTCATATATAGCTATATGAGAGAGGGAGGCCTTATGCATATGAGTGTCTGTCTATATACATATATATGTATATAAATCTTCCCCTACATATATTCATATAGTCAAAAAATAGCAACAAAGACCTAGTTGTCAAATTAGGAGGTGATTGCAAATAGAAGCAACAATTTTAAGATGAATCAAAGAGAATTAAAGCTAGCATATGATTAAACTAAGAAGTACCAGCTGTAGTAGCAGATTTGTGAGACATTTTCTTTCATCTCTCCTCACTTCAATTCAGAAACAGAATCAGGAGATTAAAGGTGTTCTTGCAAGAATAGATGTTCTGGGTCACCATGAAAATCAGTGCTGCCTGCTTCAATCTATTCCTCCATGTAAAGCACACAAGCAGCTGGAACATAGGGAACCTGCATGAGATCCTGAGCTTAGAGCCACGCAAAACTGATAAATAGAATTGCAAGTCTGAGTGGGGTGAAAGGAGGGCCGATATGTAGGGGAAACTTCTGTTGCATTTGAGAAAGCTTTCTGAAAGAGTCTTAGAAAAATTGTAACTTGAGTTGGAAGGAGGAAAAAAGACAAAAACACATAAATCTGAAGAGCAGTGCGTCAAATCCCTAAATCAGCCCCTGGCTTACCCTGTGATAGCTTTCAGCAAAGTTTTGGATACACTATTATTCTGAGTTTTTTATCTGTAAGCAAAGGAATAGCTTTAGCCTATAACTATGGTAGTAAATCTATTATTCAAGGCTTGTTACCATCATCCAATGTTAGTAAAATGCACTGTATGGTGAATTAATACTTGCACCATGGTCAAAGATGTTACATTCTTGATTGATAAGATAGAACCTATCATGAGACAGACAAAGAGGTCAAAAAAGAAAGTGTTTATACGTCTGAGGTTTGGTCTATACTTGATTACACATCTTGTCAGTTCTTTTTTCCTTATAGCTTATTATTTTTATCCCAAAAGGTTAACATCAAGGTCATTGTGAGAGAATTAGAAATAGGCTAATGTTTGTGATGCTCTTTGAAGATGAAAAGGACTAGATAAATGCCAAGCGCAAATTCCCATTCTTTGTTCCAGTCGGTGATGTCTGAAGTATCTCCTTTGGCTTTGCTTCAGTTGTTCTGGGTTTAGTCTGCTGGAACCGAAAGCACAATTCAGCTGATAGAAATAAAATATTAGAAGCGCTTGGCAGTACATGGCACTATCATATTGGTGATATAAATACGCAGCTCATTGATTTAAATGTATTCTCGCTACCACTTCATAAATGCTGCTGGTGCTATACAAGGTGTGACTTTTGCCATGAAGAGAATGTTCATCTATCATGATTTTCATTTGAACTTTATTTACATTAATGCATCTTCACAGAGTAGAATGAGGTATTTTGCTTTTGAAAGTATCCATGTTGATGTTTCTTGTCCCCAAAGAAGTCCTATCATTTGCTTTGTGTTGAATTATTAAAAAGTAGATCTGGAGGCTGGAAGACTGTTCCTGCCACTCGCAGATCTTCCCAGCTAAGCTGGGTACAGAATAGGGACCTGTCAAAGTGGGAAGGTTGCAGTGGCCCCCAGAAGGACCCAGGGAGAGGAAGATCTTCCTTGCTGGACGGAGGCAGCTGTGAGTGAGAACATGAATTCAACAGATAGGCTTCCGCATGCAGAGATCTAATCCTCAGCACAGGACCACAAACATGTTTGGGGCAAAATCTTCCACTATTCCATTGTGTTTCTGATCCAACCAGTTCCACACAGGGAGTCTGGAATCCCACTGTCCAGCAAACATATTTATTCTTGCTTGTGCCAAGCCAGCTAGCAAAATAATTTCCATAATCTTTTCCCTAGGTGTAAATGACTATGAGACATAAAAGAATGAGAACAGGAGCTAGATAAATGAATGTGGTTCTGTATTTGAACTTCTCTAAAATGTGCTGATATCATTGCATTCCCCATTCTTTTTCACACATAGTTCTTTTATAACTGTGATTAGTTCCATCACAATGTTTTGTATAGTCCAAATATTTATCAGAGTAATCAAAGATTACGATGCCATAAAAACAAAGGGAACTTTAGTGCTTATTGAACAGATGAAATATCCCATTTCTAGTGGCAAGTTATGGGTTTAATTTTTGCAAAAGCCCTTACGTGGCTCACTTTGCTCCCAGTGTTTATGTTTTACGAGGCTCTTGTTCCTAGGAGGTAAATCCTTCAGTCAAATGAACTTTGCTCCTCATGCCAAAGTATTTCTTTTTGTATTTGACATCTGGCACGAGGATAGATAGCCCTGTGAAAGAGCTGTTCATGATAAAAATGCCCTGCATGAATCTCCACTCCATACAAAACATCATGACATTATCATTTAAATGGTGCAATTATTATCTATACTTAGAATGTATGCCTCTTTTGTAAGTCATGGAAGAAGTCATATGTGGCAGATTTCTGAAGTATCTGAGCATAGGAGTGAAGAGCCTGATTAAAACTGTAAGGCATGCAAAAAGCAGCAGTTTCGCGTATTCTGTAGCTGCCCTACTGTGTTCAGCATATTGAGTGAGAATGGATAGAGAGTGCGGGGTTGCCCAGAAACCCTTGGAAAGGTATATGTACTTGGAACAAGAAAAACCTGTGATTCTTGTCTGCCAGAATTAGCAAATGCAAGTTGCCAAGCCCTATGGGCCCACTGCTGTTATTCCTCAGCAAAACAATATGATGTTTGGTGGAATTAAAAGGTGGTAAAATTGTGGGATGACTTTTTTTTTAAAGAGCATGTTTGTATAATTTGTACGTAGCCTCACAAACTTAGTACCACTGAGAATTCCTGAAGTCAAGCTGCCTGGTGGGCAGGAAAAAGGCTACCCAAAGTTATAATAGGGCATGCTAGCAACATTGGGAAGCAATATTCAATCTTCTCTGTCATTAATGGAGATAGCTTATCACTGTCAAAGTTAAGGATGAGACCTACTACAGTGGCAGATTGTCCTCTCGCATCTTTTTCTGTCCATGCCTGGAGGCAAGATAGGATCAAATTGTTCAAATTTTATTTAGAGTTTTGTAATTCAGATTAAGACCAGAAAACAGATTCAGGTTTCTAGTCACAGAGAAAAACTGCAGATATCCATTACTAAGAAAAAGGGGGAAAAAAGGGGAGTACTGACTTGACTAAAGTACCTCCATTCAGTATAGGGCACACAGACAGTAGATTTATTAGCAAGTTCCTTCATGTTGCAAGTCTCCCTGAGATTTTTAGTAAGAGAATAGTTATGAAATTCCATAATGACTTGATAGAGAAAATTGGCCTATAATTGCAACCTACAAACTGTCAGCTGGTGTTGCATTTAGGTATTGAACTCATGGACTAGCAAAAATAGCTGTCCTTGCAAAATTTTGCTCAAGCCATCAATTTTGCAATAAATCACTATAAATATATGTTTTACAAACATTTAGCAGCAATCTCTTTTCAAGATGTATTGGGCTTGGCAGGACTGGTTTTTGTCCCTCAGCAGTGATGTGGTCGGGTGAGCTTCCACAAAGAACTCCATCACAGCAGGCCAAATCCAGAGATGTGCTACAAGGGACTTGTAGGATGTGAGTTACAAATGACTGGAAAGCATTTGAATGGCTTCCAGACTTTCCATGTTGTTTCCTGATAATTCAAAGAAGTATCAAGACAAAATTTATTGAGATTGTTGTAATGAAGTCAGCAACAAAAACTGCCCCAGCCCTATGGGAGACTGGGCAAGAACTCATCTAGCTGGCAGGACTAGGTTTTACATCAATTGAAATTTTTTTATAGTGTTGTTTAAAGGAATATTTGAATTTTAGACTTTTGATTCTTTACAATAATTATTTCACTTAATTATATAATCACAGAATAATTGTATTTCATATTCCCTTTTACATTCTATCAACATGAAAGTCTAAGTCTCAAATGTATTGAAGCAAGGGACTAAAATAAGAACCAAAGGCACATTAGTCTTGTCCTGAACAAGTAAAATTCAGAGTGATTCCATTAGCAGGTCACTCACATTAGCAATAATATTTTACTTACATTCCCTTGTAAGCGAAAGACTAGGCTTTAAACACATTGTGTTGAAGAAGAAATCTCCAGGGTCAATAGACAAAATATTTTGTTTTCCTTGCAAATACATGTTGGGTATTAAACCATTCATAAAGGTTAGCATTAATTAGTTAACACACATATGTATATATTTATCCAGCCCCTTTTAGGTTGTTTCAGTATATTTTAATCTTCTAGTGCAATCTTCTCCTCTGCAGAAGAATGACATTTAATAAAGATCAAAAATACAATTTTATTATCAAGACACCTTTCTAAAAAGTGAAATATCTCCTAATTTGGCCAGAATTTTTAATATTACCGAGTTCATAATAGTTTCGCTGTAAAAGTTGTTTTATTCTATCCTCATTTAAGGTCAGCTCTTCTACTAGGGCACATATCGTTAGAGTACAGAAACTTGCAACTAATTATCTTACCTCATTGCTGTTTACTGGAAATACTAACATTTAGTACCAGTAAGGTAAATCTGACTCACTAAATGTGATAGTAACAGCAGCAACATTCACTCTGTAATACTTAGTTAGAGCTGGTTTTGCTCGTATTAATGTTGTTATTGCTATGTTAACAGTGAATATGGACAGGTTCTCAAGTGTGCTTATGAGAGTAATACCATCATTAAGGAGCTCCTGAAGTTTTTGGTCCAGATAGTCCTGATTACCTGAGTATCCAATCGTCAAAATTCTCTGTTTCATTTAGACTTGAGCTTAAAAAAAAAAAAAAAAAGGAATCACATTCAGTGGCCTTGGTCCTACAATTTGTTGTGCAGTTGGTTT